AGGTTCTTTATATTATTCAAGGTTGTTGAGACCTTTTTCCAAAGTCTATATCATGTTTCAGATTCTACACACACAAATTTAGCTCCACTAAAGTAGAGCTCAAATTTGTATTAATTCTTCAGTAACAGATATGCAATTGCTGGGAATTACTATATTATTCTGCATGTGCAGGTCCTTCAAATTCTTCCATTCTGCAAATTAAATTAAAGAGAAGCTAGTTGGTTAGCTAGTTGCTGCACATATTGTATATTCTTCCATTCCATATGTCAAGCTAGCCAAATGGCTTCGATGAACCCTAGAGCCATTCCCTCTAGTTTACTACACCAACATTATTTATTAAGCAATTAAAATACATATCTCTCGGTTATTAAGCATTATTTATGTGAATGATCTGAGTTATTTGAAGTTGAAGTGATAAGTCATGTTTTTCTGAGATCGCGTATGGTGTTGGTAACTGCAGTGATTAGTTGTTTTTTTGAAGAAGTTTTCGGTGGCAACTGTTTTCTGGATTGAACATATTGAAACAGAGACCGATTTTTTGAAACATTTGCGTGTGATTCTAGGTGAAGACGCTGCTTCATTTCAGCTGTAGTTGATAGGAAGTGAATTGTTTCTAGTTGATAGGAAGTGAATTGTTTCTGTAGTTAGTAGAGTATTTAAATATTTAGCTTTTTTAGTGGTTAGATTTGGATTTCTGAGGAATGTTAATGATGAATTTTGTTGGTGTGTTTGTTGCCATCTTATGCTGTACTTTGTTGTTGTATCTGTAGGTCTTTGAATTTGAATTTTTTGGATGGAAAATATGTTTCCAATTAGATACTTGAGTGGAAAATGTGTTGATTGTGATGTTTTGAAAGGAAAATGGGTGTTGGATGCGATGAATATTGCTTAATGTAAAAAGAAGATCGAAACAGAAACAAACAAACCCTCTATGAATATTTGTTGCCTCATATATATTTACATGTTGAGTTTTGTTGATTTTTCATTTATCCATTTATGAACTTTGTTATTTCTTAACGCTGTTGTCCTGTCTTTGAAAATAGGTTCTGCACATGGATCGCAATGACTATTATGGTGGTGAATCGACTTCACTCAATCTCATTCAGGTACGTGTTTGGTTGAATTAGATTGAAATAGCCTTTGGCTCTTGAATGCCCGAAAATATTGCTGTTAAAGAACTTATAACTGCAGTCTTCCGCATGTCATTTATTATTTTTTTATGGATATCTGCTATACCCTCAGCTGTGGAAGAGATTCAGAGGGAGTGATAAACCTCCGGCGCATTTGGGTTCCAGTAGAGATTACAATGTCGACATGATCCCTAAGGTGTGTATTATGCGTGTTCTCATGTTACCCTTTAAATGATATCTTTTCTTCTAACTATATGCATTCAAAATGCATTGTTTATCGATTTCAGTTTATTATGGCAAATGGCACCTTTGTTCGAGTCCTCATTCATACAGATGTTACCAAATACTTATATTTTAAAGCTGTTGATGGAAGCTTTGTCTTCAACAAAGGGAAGGTATTTCATTGTTTTTGGCATTTGGCCTAGTTCTTTGTGCCATTTTTTTATATGTCTGTTGATGATTTTGTTCACACGAATCATTGATTTGGTCCATGTTTGATGGTAAATTCAATCTTATAGATTCACAAAGTACCTGCAACTGACATGGAGGCTCTAAAATCACCTCTCATGGGAATCTTTGAAAAGAGACGTGCCCGCAAATTTTTCATTTACGTCCAAGACTACAATGAAAATGAACCTAAAACACATGAAGGAATGGATTTGACTAGAGTTACTACAAGGGAACTCATTGCGTACGCACTCTTTACTTCTCACTTCATTTTTCCTTCACTGTAAATATTCTTGTGAAATTCTGTTTTCTTGCTTAATATATTTCAGATGCTTTATCTATTTTTCTAACACACGTATACATTTGAAAGGCTGTATTCTAGTTGTCAAGCAGTTTTACTTGTTTCGCAAGACATACGTTTCAAATGTACAATTTTAGTATCAATTAAGCTTGTATTATGTGAAATTAAGAGGAACGCCAATTGCCACATGATAATTAAATTGATTGCTAGAGGCTACTTTCGTTATGAGAACATTGGATTAGAACAATGTTATTTGGCTCTTCGATCAAACTTTTGTGTTTGCATTTGAATGGTTGTCATATCCTAGTGCATTACCACAACATTTTTTTTTATTTGAAATTTACTTTTTAAAAATTTACAATCTTTCTAAGTAGAATGCATACCTTACCTTTAGAAAAATAAAAATTAAATTTGCAATTGGTCTTAGTTTCTGGTATTAGTTAAATTGGACATATATTTTACGTTAACTTTTCTTTGATGTTGTAAATTAAGTTGGACCAAAAGTAACTGTTTATTGATCTTAATATACTTCAAGAGCAGGAATTTTGTTTTGTATTGATTGATTGAGCTCATGATTAAAGGATTAACATAAGGCACTAAAAATTATAGATCTATTGAAATATTGACTTTAATTGGATTTGGTTGCTTCATTCCGGGCATTTATTGAGGCATGTAAATTTTAGTGTTGAAGTTATATGCATTGCCACTATATTGTTGTTGTTGTTAGTTGTTAGTTGTTGTTGTTATTATTATTATTATTATTATTATTATTATTATTATTATTATTATTATTATTATTCATTTGTATCAAATATATTTATGATTTTGTTTGGAAATCTAACATTGTATTCATCTAAGTGGATGCCGTTGAAGCACACCTAACTCAACAAGGAAATACGTCATATGATCCGGATAATGTGTTCCTCACCGTAGTACCCCGTGACAAGAAAAATTGCATTTATGGGTTGGGGTCATTAGGTGCGACTGTTCCTCCTCGACCATCATCCTTCTGTAGCGATGGTCGTACTCCGGGCATATTTATTCTTGAGGAACGATTGACAAAGATGGAATGTGAGTTGGGTGAGTTGAGGACAGATCTTGCCGTGGGACGTAGTCAATGGGAAGTGATGCAACAACGTGTCACAAATATGGAGAACCAACAACGAGCGATATACGATTTGAACTTGACCATTATGGAGCAATTACGACGTATGGGAGCACCATCCATTCATAGGTCCGAACCTGATTCAGATGGTGGTAGTTCTTCGATATCATGATATTTTATCATTACAAGTGTTTTAGTTACGACCTTAGTTGTTTTGGTATGATATTATGATAATTTGAATTAGATTTATACATTTTTCTGATATGTGCTACTTACTCATACTAAATACATTGTGTTTTTGGTATATTGATAGTGTTTAAATTTGAAAATTTTATATGATTTCAACTAGTTCTTGTATTTTTGAGAAGATATATTAATCGAATCATTAAATTTATTAAATTTGAAAAAACAAAATTGACAAGAAATGAGCAAAAGAAATTGTAAAAATTGCGACGGAATTAACAATAGTTATATTATCTCGCAATTTTCTATTCTATTTGCAACGGATCTTGCAACATATATATTCTTTTTTAAAATGCGTTGCAAAAACTTGCAACAGAATTAGCAATAGTTATATTCTCTCGCAATTTGCTATTCTATTAAAAACTTGCGACGGAATTAGCAATAGTTATATTCTCTCGCAATTTGCTTTGCAAAAACTTGCAACAGAATTAGCAATAGTTATATTCTTTCGCAATTTGCATTGCAAAAACTTGCAACAGATTAGCCACTGCAGTAAAATTCCGTAACAAAAAATTGCGATAGAAATGACTGTCACTAATTATATTGCAATTCTCTGCAACGGAAAATTTTAATTGTTACATTGGGTTACTACAATAATATTTACTACAACTTCCACTTGGTCGCAAATTCCGTTGTAATTAAAAGTTGCGACAGAAATTTTGTCAGTTGTGACGGAATTTTTCCGTAGTAATTTGTAATTTTTTTTGTAGTGATGAGAGGCTGCGCGTCATTGAGAGGAGAGTGGAGTGGAGGCCCTTTGCACTCACTTTGGTGTGCCGGCTCATGGCACACCGCCATCCCACTGACGGAGCCGTTTACCTACCTCCCACTTCCACTTGTACCGGTCGAAGCATTTTACCGTTGGCAGGTTTGTCCACCACAGCTCCCTTTATTCTTGGAAGAAACTTTGCATTTGAGCGTACGATCCAATAATTAGTCCTACCCCCGAAGGACTATTCGATCTTAGATTACAACTGCACTTTCCATTACCTCGTTATGTGTCTATCAACTTTTGCATTTATGCATACTGGTATTTCCAACCCGTTTGTGGAATCTTTCTTCACATATTAGTACATATGCGTAATAGTTGTAATATTTATCTACGACCCTACAAACGTTCTTTTTTCAAGCTTTAACTACCATTTATTCTACCTTTTACTATGGATTCCTCGTAAATGGACTAGCTTCGTTATTTTTTTTTAATCTTTTTTTTAAAAATCCCAACCATCTTAAACCAGTCTACCAGCGAAATTAACCATCACCGCATTTAATTTTCAAAATGACTGCGCGTGCAACCCCTAATCGCATTCCACGGAATTCACTCCCCATCTACCCTCCTAACCTCCCTATGTCTGTAGGCAGTCCCGACATTATGAAAAGAAGTGACACAAATAATTAATACGATTAGGGGCGGAACTAGCATTACATAAGAGGGGGGGCTAAAATTTTAAAAATAATATATTTTATATATACATCATATATGTAAGAAGACTTACAGTTTATTTGTTGTCGGACAACTGCATTCTTCGAGTTGCCATATTTTGAAAACATTGCAAAATAGCTTCAATTTCAACCTTTTCAAATATTTCTTTTTCAATATAACATACCATAGAATCTATCAAAAAATCATCTCCCATCTTACTCCGCAAATCAGTTTTGATAATCTTCATCGCAGAAAAAGATCTTTCAGCGGTAGCTGTTGCAATAGAAAGAACTAGGACCAACTTGATTAGTCGATACACTAACTTCAAAGTAGTATGTCATCTTCTTTCAATCACCCTTTTAGAAACATCTTCAATACTCTCAAGATCAGAAAAAAATACAAACTCAACTTTTTAACAATAGAGATATATTGTTTCAGTTCTGCAGCTAGCATAACCTCATCGTCAAAATCATCAAAATCATATGGATATAACTTAGCAAGACGAAGTAGTTTATCATCATCAAAATTTGCAAATGAATCTCTAGGATCAAGACATGGAATGCCTAAGAGAAGTTCTGAACTTGTCTCCGTAAAATGATTATCCATTTCTTGTGTGATATGATCAACAACCTAATATAATAATAAAATAAACAAATGATTTGTAAATGAAATAAAATAATCAATATTTCTACTATGAAATTAAAGTAGACAAGTACCTCAAGAAAAATATCCCAACGAAAATAATGGAAATCAGTCTTTAGTTGGCCATCAACTTTTCTTTGAGATCTAACTCGACCAGGCCTAGGATCTTCCATATTCGGAAAATAAATATCTTTTTTAGAACAAAATTTGAAGACAATTCCCATGAATTTCTTTCAACTATCCTCATCCCGAAATTTCTTCAAATCTTCCTTCAATACTATAATCAAAGATACGACATTACCAATATTAAGAGATTTTCGTTGCAGAGAAGCTGATAATGCATTTGTTTTCGCCAATAATGTGAACATCAAATGAGCAATGAAAACAAATTCGAAAGTCAATACTTTTTCAACCAAACCTGCAGCAGAACCTCTATTTTTTTTTATCAATCCCATCCTCAATTATAACTTCAAGAAAATCTATAATTGCATCCCGCATATCTAAAATTTAACTGATTGTCTTATAATGAGAACCCCAACGAGTATCACCTGGCCGCGCTAAGCCTGTTTCTTATTTTTCCTTTTCCAGTATCAATTGCACCAGAGTCTATGCGTTGTACAAGATCATCATGATACTTTTTGACGAAGAGCATCTCTTGTTTTACATAAAGTTCCAACAAGATTCCCAATCATAATTAAATGATCGAAAAAGTTACTCACCAATGTATGATCCTTTGAAGTTGTCACAATTACTAACTAAAGTCGATGAGCAAAATAATGACTATAAGGTGCTTGACAATTTTCATTTAAAATAAGTTCTTTCAAAGCATTAAACTCACCATGCATGTTAGAAGCTCCGTAGTAACCTTGACCTCTAATTTTTGAAAATGATAGGCCATGCTTTGCAAAGAAATCATCAATGGATTCTTTTAAAGATTTTGAAGAGGTATCCTTAACATGCACAACTCTAATAAATCGCTCAATCACTTCTCCCTTGTTGTTCACAAATGTCAAAACTATGGACATTTTTTATTTTACCGAGTTGTCTCGAGCTTCATCAATCAAAAGAGAAAAGTACTTGTCTCCAATCTCATTTAAAATAATTTTTATCATCTCTATTGCACAAGCATTGATGATTTCTTTTTGAATTCCAAGATATGTCAATTGATTATTTCTCGGAGCATTTGAATTCATTACTTTATTTACTTCTTCATTCCGATCACAATACAATTTCAAAAGTGAAAGAAAGTTACCTCTCTGCATTGACTTCTCAGACTCCTCATGCCCACAGAAAGCCAAACCTTGTTGTAAAAGAAATATGACTGCATCCACAACTGTTGTTAACCGAATACGGTAATCAACTTTTACCTCATTGCTTCTTTGTGCCAACATATAATCAATATTATGTCGCTGATCTTGAAATGACGAACATTGAATCTTAGCATAATGATGTGCACTTGTTGAAGGACCTTCATGTTCCTTGAATTTTTCTAAGGCTTTTTTCCAATTTTTAAAACCAATTTCTGTAAAAGTGGTATCTCCACCATGTTTGTGGCCTTTATTGAATAAGCAGCATACAAAAGAAAAGGCAACATCTTTTTGTGCACTATATTCAAGCCATTCAAATTGATCAAACCATGTTGACTGAAATTTTCTCATAATCTTACCAAACGAAGTCTTCGGAAAATCATGATCATGCGGTTGACAAGGCCCTTTAGCCAAATATCGCATTCTTACTTCATCTCTAACATCAATATGATAGCTATCAATCGGTTAACGTAATCCTGGATCACCAACAATGTCGTTCTCCGATAATTCTATTTGTACTCGATTTCTTTTAACACTTTCTCTATCATCAATACCAATTTGACTAGCAACCATATTACTTGGTGGGTGCAAAGATGAACTTGAAGCAGACATTTTTTATTTGATAATAAATTTATCCATAACTACACACCTAAAAAATAATTAAACAAATAAATCAAATATTAATTATCTAACATAAAATTTTTAAATAAAAATAACATATATTCTATTTTCACATCGAGAATCAAAATTTAACACAAAATATTATGATTTTTATTATGATACAATTTCTCATATTTCACATAAAAAATAAATTAAATTAAATTAATAATCAAGCACACTGTAAATATAAAAACAAAACAAAAAAAATAATACCGATTCTTGCTAGTTGGTTCCACCATATCAGATTTGAGTCCAACACCAAAACAAGGATGAAAAAGAAAAAATATTTTGAAGAACAACAAAAATAGATGAGAGAAAATAAAAGAAAAATAAAATAATAAAGAAATAAAGAATATTTGAAATTTGGACGCAACGGAGGCAGAGAATAATTTTGAAATTTAAGTTAAATTTGATTTGATTTGATTTTTAATTACAATAATATATATAATAGTATTATTAATAAAATACTATATATATATTATATATATTCAAAATTAAAGAAAACAACAAAACCAATTATTAGAATGAAATTTAGGTTAAATTATTATGATTAATATATATTAATAAAATATAAATATAAATATATTATATATATTTTTGGGCAAGGGGTGCTCTATGTTACGTCCGCTTCTGAATACGATTGTATTTGCGAATCTTATCATTTTTAAGGCTTGCTCCCTGCACGTACCATCAAGCATTCATTCTTATGATTAATGTGGAGTATTAATACTCCATACTACCTCATTCGTGCTTCCAAAGCTTTCATTCTTACAGTTATTGAAAGTAGAGGGATGCATCCTTTTCGAGGACCGACTCCTAGGGTGTCACGTACTCCACCGCTGCGGTGAACTTATCAACTTGAACAATATTTCATACACATTGTATGGGTACAATGGCTTGCTGGAGGCTTTGATGGGCCCTACATCCGCGTCCAACTTTGGGATGAGATACATGAGCAATTCAATCACAAACCCAGTTGTGCATTTGAGCTGGGGCAGCTGAAAGAGAAGTTGAAGCGGATTCGGTCATCATATTTTTACGTGACCTAGTTGTTCGGGAAACAGGCCTTCGTTGGGACGCAGCAACGGGACTCATCAATGCAACCGCCAAGGAGAAAGCCGCATGGCTAGTGGTAAGTGCTGAGTTCAATAATCAATATATTCTCATGTTTTCAAATATGACAGAGACGAACTTTTGGCTGTCCGCATTAGGCATATCCTAGACACAACCATCTACTTTCACGGCCGTTCCCCCTCTATGACTCATGCCACAATAGTGGGGATGTGCTAGTGGATCTCGCTGAAGAATAAACGTTTAAATGTTTTCGGGGACGGCGTTCACTCCGTGCGTCCGTTCGTTGGTCTTTCACCACCCACGTGCCATTCTGCTTCTTTTGCAGTACTACGTTCAAGTCCCGAGTTATGTACGGGTCTCTTGTTTTCACCTTCCGTTGTTATCCTTTCTCGTTTTCATGTAGCAGGATATAAGCATTTCGAAATAATTTGCCTTGTTTTCTGTCGAACCGGTGCTCGGGTGCAGTTTTGGGTGGTTTCACTTTAGAGTTAAGTGGAACGACGACGGCTATCGTTCCGGCCTTCGCAATTATGATACCTTCACAGGCTCGCATGTTCTTACGATGCTTATGCGAGAGTAATTTTTTTTTTCCATGTTTTTTATGCCCTTTAATCACCCGTGTAACAAATGATTCCCCTCCCTGGTGAATGACTGTAACCGGTCTTCGTAAAATTGTAGCTTTAAACACCGTGTTAAAAAATTTTTAAAAAAAATGGATGTGATGAAAAAGAGATCAGAATTTGGAATTAATAACCGAAAGTATCCCAAAATTATTTTTCTTTATTATTATTTTAAAAAATTTTAAAAAAATCCAAAAACACTTTTTCATCATAATAAAAATAAAAAATAAAAAATTTAAAAACACGTTTTATCCTACACAATCATTTTACCTATCAAATCAATCCATATCATTTCCTCCAAATCCAAACCAAACTACATATCCAAAGAAACAACTAAAATCAAATCCACTTAAAAATTTAAATATAAGTCAAACCCAAACCCAACTTCTCCAAACCGCGCCTAAAGAAACACACCCTAAATACAAAGAAACTACTAAAATAAAAGTAAAAGTTTTTATGTTAAAATTTATGATAATTTTTTATATAAATTCAAAAATATTCATTCAAATCGAAAGAATAAAAATTTGGAAATAATCTACCGAATTAAAATGAGAATATAATATGCATAATTAAATCAATTTAAAAAAATTACATGCAAAATAAGAAGAAAAAATTGATTAGTTGAAAAAAAAAATAATAATTCAAAAGAGACATATACACAGTAAAATAAAAATATTAAAATAAAAATAAACTTTCTCTATATTAAGTTTTATTATATAGATTCTACAGATATTCATTTAAATTAAAATAATCAAAATTTAGACATAATGCAAAATTTAAAAAAGAATATAATATAAAATTTGAAATTAATTCAACTAGAAAAAAAGGGATAGAAAAAGAATGATAAAGAATTGATTAATAGTAAAAAAAATCATAATTAGATATTTAAAAAAAATACATAAAAAATAAGTATGAGAATACTAAAATAAATTATTTTTTTATATATTAAAAATTACTATAATTTTTTGTATTAATTTCTTAGATATTTCTTTAAATGCAAAATTTAAAATTTGTACATAAACTACAAAATTAATATATATATATCTTAGAATATAATATTCGAAACCAAATCAATTAAAAAAATACATTACAAAATAGGAATAAAAAAAATTGATTAATAAGAAAATAAAAAGAACAAAATAGATACTTTATTAAAAACAGAATAAAAATGAAAATAGTTAAATAAAAATAAAATTTTATATGTTGAAATTTACTATAATTTTTTATATGAATTTTCTGAACATTTTCAAATTAAACGACACAAAGTTTAGATATAATATATAAAATTAAAAAATATATTAGAATGTAATTTTTGGAACCAAATCAATCAAAAAAAAATACTTGTATAATAAGAAATAATATATATTAGTAGAAATAAAATAATAAAATAGATAATTTAAAAAATACATACATAATAAAAATAAAAACATTTTTATATATTAAAACATAGCATAATTTTCTATATGAATTCCTCGAATATTTCTTCAAATTAAAAATTCAAAAATATAATCTAAAAAATAAAAATATTATAATATAATAATTTAAATCAAATCAATTAAAAAAAATACACTCTTATATAATAAGAATGTATATATATATAAAGTATTATAATATAATGCTTTGGCAAAATTAGTAATATTTTCTTTATAATTTACAAATAAAAGAGCACTTGAAATTACTATATATTAATTAAAAAATACATATGTTGTATTTTTTTTTTTTTTTACTTTTTTTTCAATCTTTCCTCTTATTTTTTTTTTATGTCACGATATAAATAAGAGAATCGATTAATAAAGATCAAAGAAAACAATATGGATTATGTTATGATGCAAAAATCTTTGAAAATTGGGGATACATATCGAACTCGATTAACTGTAATTGTAAAAGTGATTTAATATATTTTAAGGCAAAATTTAATTTTTTTTTACCATGAATCAACGTAAGTCAGCACAATCCATACACGATAGTAATTCTCTTGAGCTTTACAAATGATATAGTAATAACAATGGAAAAGTGAAAAAAAGGTAATTGATGTTGAGATATTTTAAATATTCAGTTTTAGATTTAGTAGATTTATATTTAGATTTGGTCTTACCCATATATTAGATTACTTCTATCGAGTCTGTTTTGTATTGTCTATATATAGATCTCTTATTTGATGATCAATAAGACAATCTCATTATTTTCTCTGAAAATTTCTAACATGATATCAGAGTTTATTATTCTCATCTCGTAGATATAGTCTACCAACTTGGATTGTACCCAGAGGTCTTGTGATTTTAAGATCATGTTATTTGTCAAATGTCCGTTTCCTGCGTGCGATCTGAAATCTATCTACATGTCTGTTGTCTGCGTGCAATCTGAAACCTGTTTGCGATCGGTCATTTGTCCGTTGTTTGTCTGTTGCATGCGTGCGATCTGAAACCTATCTGCGATCCGCCATCTGTCCACTGCTTGTCCGTTGCCTGCGTGCGATCTGAAATTTGTCTATGATTTGCTATATGTCAGTTGCTTATCTGTTGCTTGCGTGCGATCTGTTTGGTATTTGGGATTCATCTCGTTTTCGGCAACAATGGAGAGTCATCTAGTTTTCGGCTCTGGTAGAGTCATCTCGTTTTCGGCTCTAGTGGAGAGTCATCTCGTTTTCGGTTTCGGTGGAGAGTCATCTCGTTTACGACTCCGGTGGAGAGTCATCTCGTTTTTTGCTCCGGTGGAGTCATGTCATTTTTTACTCCGATGGAGAGTCAACTATTTTCGGCTCCGGTGGAGTCATGTTGTTTTCGGCTCCGGTGGAGTCATGTCGTTTTTGGCTCCAGTGGAGTCATCTCGTTTTCGGTTCCGGTGGAGTCATGTCATTATCGTCTCTGGTGGAGTTATATTGTTTTCAGCTCCGGTGGAGAGTCATGTAGTTTTCAACTCCGGTGGAGTCATGTCGTTTTCGGCTCTGGTGGAGAGTCATCTCGTTTTTTACTCCGGTGGAGAGTCATCTTATTTTCGGTTCCGGTGGAGAGTCATCTCGTTTTTTGCTTCGGGGTGGAAAGTCATCTCGTTTTCGGCTTCGGTAAATAGTCAATTGTTATTTTTCTTTGCGTCTTTTGCGTTTGTATTCAACTTTCTTATCAAACTCAAGTTATTTTTTGTTATACTACTTGAGTTTGAGGGGAGATGCTGAGATATTTTAGATATTCAGTTTTAGATTTAGTAGATTTATATTTTAATTTGGTCATATCCATATATTAGATGACTCATATCGAGTCTGTTTTGTATTACCTATATATAGACCACTTATTTTTATGATCAATAAGACAATCTTATTATTTTCCCCCAAAATTTCTAAAAATTAATTTAAATTCTCCCGAGAATAATCAGTTGACTTCTCTATCTGTTCAAAAATAAATATTATCAATACTTGTAGTTCAAAAGTGAGAATTTTATTCAAAGTAAAAATTAGGGATAGATGATTTTCACTTTTGATTGATGAGACTCAAGACCGTTCTATAAAGAAAAAAAATATATTTAAATTTATATTTGTAAATAATATTAGAGAAGTCAAAAGAACGTTTTTTTGATATAGTGCATGTTATTATATTTCCACATACTTTTTGAAAAAATGTATTGATGAGATTTTATTTTATTTTTTTTAATTTTTGTAAGAAATTGATTATCACTATAAATGGTTAGAGGTTAGGGCTATGATGACGCTTCTAGTATGTGTGAAGAGTTTAATAGGTTTAAAGCACTCATTTTGAAAGAAAATGAACATGTACATCATATTCATTGTTTTGCACATCAACTTCAATTAGTTATTGTTTCTAATGTTGGTCAAAATGAGCTTGTGAACAATTTTTTTAAAATATTTTTTTATAATTGTAAATATTATCGAAACTTCATGTAAAAGAAAAGATGAATTGAGGTGACGCCAATTTGATCATTTTGTAAGACATAGAATTGGAAGATGTTACTACAAGAAATGGAAATAATAAAAAAATGATAGGTCGAGCCAATGATACTTGTTAGGACTCTCATTTAAAGATAATCACTCGATTTGCTAATTTATGAAATCCAATGACGAAAGTGATTGAAATTATAGTTACGGATGATAATGTTATGAAAAGATGCAGATTTACTATGGGCTCTGTTGAAAAAAATGAAAAGTTTAGAATTTATTTTTGTAGATCATTTGATGAAACATCTCTTTGGAAAGACAAATGCACTGTGTTCAACAAAATAAAATCAAACATAGGTCATGTTGTGCAATTAATTACAATTTTGAAATATGAATTGCAAGAATTTAGAATAAGTTGTTGGAGGGACATTTTTGAAAAAATAACTAAGTTTTGTTCACATCATGATATTATTATCCCAAATACGAATGATTTTATCCCTGAATGATTGAGAATATTTGTTGATACCCAAAGAATTCAAGTAGATATTTTCATATAGGTACTGTATTCTTCTTAATTTATTATGAAAATTAGTGTAATATTACTTTACATTATAAAATATTAATTATTCATTTTACAATATCAGGTGATTTATATCATTTCTCAAAAAATAAATGATTAGTTTACTAAAGCAAACTTGGACCTTTTGATAGAAATAACATATTTTAATCCGATCATTTCTTTGCTACTTTTGATCAATAATAGATTATTCACTTTGTTAAATTATATTTGAAAAAATTTTCTACGCTTGATTTGTCATAGTTAAGGTTGTAGCTTGAAACGTTCATTTGTTATATGATATTAAAATCAGCTTTTATTGGACTTTGTGATATTAAATTATTTGCGCAAAAAATAATTCAAATAAATTGTAAGAGTACTTTATATTCTATTTATCCACTAATCGAGTTAACATTAATTTTGTTTGTCACGAAAACTACGAATGAAAAATCTTTCTCAACAATGAAGATTGTCAAAAATAATTTGCATAAGGGAATGATAAGTTAATATCTTACCAACTTTGTTATATTGAGAAAATAATTTTTAAACTATTAAAAATTGAAACATTTTTGCAATGCTTTTTAAAAAAATAACTACTTAAAAAAGAAAACTATGGCAGAATCACTATAAAATACAAACATATTTTATAATTATCTTTTTGTTAGATTGACTAAATATTCTATTTTGGATTAAGGCCCGTAGCTGAATTTTATTTTGGATCAATTTCATTATTTGTCTTGTGATTCAGAATGGGAGCAAATCATTTTGTAGGTAGTTTATTTTTATTAGCACCCTAAAATCCTTTCTTGTTTTTTATTTGTACAAGAAGAAATTGGATTGCGGTTTCTTACATAGTAATTTTTTTTTTTTTTTTCTAATATATACTCAGTTTTTTTTTAAAAAAAAATATTAATTATTTTAAAATTTGATATTATCGTTCGGCCCTTCACGGACGTAGGAGTAGACAAAAATATCGAATCGAACTGTCGAATCAAACCAAACCGAATTTTAAGTTAAACGAACAAATTCGATTCAAATACAAATACTGCATATTTGATATTTGTTCGGTTCAATTTTGGTTTTTGATATTTTTTCAATTCGGTTAACCGAATATATTTATATATTTATATTATTATATTTTAAAATTTATATTAATAATTATATTCAATTTGGTTATGGTTCGATTTCGATTCAGATATTTGAAATATTTACAAATATTTTAATTTAATTAGAATTTTAATTATTTTTTAATTTCGGTTCGATTCGAATTATTTGCAAATATTGCAAATATTTTCGGTTAACCGGTTCAGATACTGTTCGCGATTTCGAGTATTTGTTCAATTCGCTTCAGATATCGAATACATGTATATTTGCATATTTGCAAATACCCGAACCGTACCCACCCAGCCGTCACTCATGGTAACCTAAATTAAAACTGCCTGAATGAAGAGATTAACAGCATTGAAGAATTGTTTCATTTTCTGATAAAAACATTCATATTGTTACTTATATGCACAAATCCAAACAGCAGGCCAAATCCAATGACCTAAAAATATGTACCAAAGAAAAGAAAAGTGTGTATAAGCCAAACCAGCAGCAGCAACAAACCAAAAAAAACTTACAGCACAAAAGTAAAGGTGACCTAATTAAAATTAAAAACTGCGTGAAGAAAGGGGATTAACAATAACAGGTAGCTAGCGTGCAAAAACGTAGAGCCACAGAACAGAACCAAAGTGTTGTTTCTCAATCTCAACCACACAAGCAGGCAAGCATATATTAACACGCGCACGCAACGCACCGTACAGCTGAGATTCACATCAGAATCGCGTACCGTAGGCTGTCTCGCACCATGAGATGAGTTACCTCGGAGGTGTGCGGCAGCTCCGCCGACACCCAAACTCCGTCGGCGGCGCTGCTCATGTACGGATGCGAGAGGCACGACAGCATCGAGAGCGGCGCTAGAAGTATGTCGCACAGGAATGAAACTTTGTGCTTCCATGTCGACTCCGATCTTCCGCCGGTTGATCCGAGATTCTCGTCTGCCACTCGAGAATTGCTCTTCGGCGCTCGCCGCCTCGTCGCCACCGCCGCCGCCGGCGCGATCAGCATCGCGATTGGATAGATTATGGTTTGGGAGAGAATCTGTGGTGTGGTGTGGGTGAGATTGAGGATAGTGGAATGGCGATTGAGATGATTCCCTCCCGTCCCGTTGCTTTTGTGTGTGTGCTTAATCACCAAGTAAGGTCTTCGTCTTTAATTTCATTTTCATCCCCGATATTATGGTTTACTTCAATTTTGCCCTTTTCGCAATATGGAAATATCACTTTGCCTCCTTACCTAACGCACGAATTTATACTTTTCAATGATTTTATCATTTTTTCAATTTTTTTTTTAAAAAATATTATATCAAATATTTATTTTTAGTTTTTATATTATATTAAAAATTAATTTTACATTAAAAATATTATATCTAACGCCTATTTTTATATCGTATTATAAAATAATTTAAATTCAAAATTTTTTTTTATTTAAATCTCAAAATTTATATGGCATTACTATGTTTGTTATTAAGATAATTTTTTCTTAATTATTAAATTTCATTCAATTTATTTATAACAAAATTTACTAACTTTATTATTGTATCACTTCATTCCTTTTAATTATTAACTAAAAGTTTTAAAATATCTTGAACTTTTTTTCATTTTTTAATAAATATTTATTTTTTAAATTTTGTTGGGCCAAAAAAGCTATTTTTAACCGAGGGGAAGAGTACTAATAAATTAGTAAAAAACAAATAGTTTGTTCATTTATTTATAGGTGGCATAATTATTTTTAAACATTACAAAAAAACACAATATATACTCTGTATTAATATAATACTCCCATTGGATCATAAAATTTGAAGGTTTCAAAATAGTTCGTTGATTTATCGGTGTGGATTTCGGAAGTACTCCAAAAAGCTTGTCCGTCATCGGATTTTGGGCGGCGCCTTCGGTGGAGCCTGCACGGCTTCGAACCTAAACGACCGATTTCGATGGATTTAAACTAACATCTACTAAAACTCGGATAAATCTACTGGAAAGCGGATGAAAATATGCTAGAAACATAAAAACATGTAATTCGAATTAAAATGCATAAACAGGAACTAAAACATGAAAAACAGATAAATATACGAATTCATCTTCTTGTGCGTGTGTGATGTGTTTTTTCCTAGTTTTAATCCTAAGATAGAATAACTGTCTCTTTCCACTAAAATGGGCAGTTCCAATTATTCATCCACCACTCTCAACTGCCTGGTAACCTCACACTACTACCTCCAACCTTCCACTACCTCCAACTGCCTGGTAACCTCCTTCCATCAGTTCCCTGGTAACCTCCTTTCATCAGCTCCTAATCACCTGGTAACCTCCTTCCATCAGCTCTCAACCGCTTTTATTGCCTCTGGACCGGATTCCACTTGCTCTGAACTTCTTCCATTGCCTATGGACCAGATCTGCCGCTTCCTCCGACTTGTTTCCATTGTACTCTTAGCCGGTCCACGGGGATGTGTCCCCAACAGTCTCGAGTTAAATGAAATCTTCGATTTTCCTCTTGTTGGCTTGTTCCATTGAGCTTTTTGAATAAAGTATCAAAGTACATAGGCCCTCCACTAATGTTCAGTATAAAATTATTAACCCAGGGACAACGGAGGTAGTTATCCCATTATCTGTGGAAGCTGTTGCTTTACATCTTGTGGAGGCAACATTCCTTTACTTTGTAGACGCACCGCAGTCCAATGAAGGTAGTTGTTTTCAACCCAATGGAGATAGCAATTTATGACCTTATGGAAACATTGTTCCGGAATGGAAGCGCTATAATCCAAAGAGTTGTTGCCCTAAGGTCCACGGAGGCTGCTGCTTTCGGCCATGTGGAAGCACCACAATCCAATGGAAGTTGTTGCCTTCGGCTCTGTGGAGGCAGCAGTCTTTGGCTCCGACGCTTGAAGCTCCATTTCTGTTGAGCGGCTCCGTGATTAATAAGCTCTGGCTCCACTTTTATCTTTGAGTCTCCTTCACGTTCAGGTGTTTTTGAACCCATGCCCAACACCTCCATATAATATATATTATATTCAATCACAAAAAATTAATAATTTAATATAAAATATCATTTTTTATATTATCGATATAATATTTCATACCTAACATAAAAGATATATTTTCCATAAAAAAATAGTTTGGTGGTTTAAAATGCAAGCCATTAAGTGAGCATATCCAAGATAACTTGACAATAGAAGTACTTTGATCTCTTCCTCTCAGACTGAGCGTTCATTAAATAAAAAATTGGTACTTCTTTAATTAATTTTATCAAAATTAAAATTAAATATATTTACAAAAATATTACTTCTTTCTTATTGTATAAAATATCTATTTTTTCTATTTCGATCTGTCTTAAATAATTTGTTTTTTCTTTTTTAATTTCATAATATATATGTTTTAATCTTAATTAAATTATTTAATTATTTTAATTTTAATATATAATTATTTTTATTATACAATAATTATTTTATCTAAATTCTCATATTTATATTAATACAAAATGTCGGGATAGAACATAAAGGTTATCGATGTTGGGATTCTGTGTTGAATCATCTACGTATCTCTCGGGATGTTACTTTTTGGGAGCATAAGTTCTTTTCCTCTAAATCTAAATTTTTCATTCCTTTTGAGTCAGAGTCCCCGTTATTTGTTATGAATTCCTCTCCTCCTCCTGCAGGTCCCAAACCCCCGTCCGTTCCTGCTGGTCTGTTTGATGTTGATCTTTCCCCACTAGCTGACCCTCATGCGCCTCCTAAGCCTGTGCCCGATCATGCGGAAATTCCAGTTCTTGCCGCCACTGATCGGCGACCCACCCGTGTAAGTCGTTCTCCCTCTCATCTACTTGATTATCATTGTTTTTCTGTCATTTTATCTCACCATGAATCCAGGACCTTTCGTGAGGCGAACTGTGATCCCTTGTGGCGCGACGCTATGTCTGAGGAATTGATGGTTCTTGAGAAGACCGGCACATGGAATATCGTCGATCTCCCTCATGGCAAGAAACCTATTAGCTGCAAGTGGATGTACAAAATCAAAACTCACTCTGATGGTTCTGTTGAGCGATACAAGGCTTGCCTTGTAGCCAACGGTTTTTCGCATGAGTATGATATTGATTATGAGGAGACATTTGCTCCAGCTGCTCGTTTGACATCTGTCCGTTGTCTCCTTGTTGTTGCCGTTGTTCAACGTTCGTAATTACTACAGTTGGATGTGAAGAATGCGTTTCTTCATGGATATTTGTCCGAGGAAGTCTACATGACCCCTCGACCTGGCTCAAATTTTTCAGGGAAGGTATGTCAGCTGTGTTGTACCCTTTATGGACTGAAGCAGACGCCCTGAGTTTGGTTCGCCAAGTTTAGTGTTGCGCTCCTTCAGTATCGCTTTTCTGCATCTCCCTATGACTCTACTCTCTTTATTCGTCGTTCTCCTGCCGAGATCATCATTCTCTTGTTGCATGTGGAGGACATGGTTATTATCGGCGATGACATTTCTGATATATCCGATCTACAGACATACCTTCATCGACACTTTGACATGAAGACTCTTGGTCAGCTCCGCTACTTTCTCGAACTTGAGATTTATGATGCTCCAGATGGCATATATCTATCTCAGGAGAAATATGCATCTGATCTCATATCTCGTTCAGGTCTGACCGATAGCCAGTTGCATCCACCCCTCTCGAGGGGAACTGCTGACTTGCTCCTTTCAACGCACTCCACTAGATGATCCCTTCCACTATCGGCAGTTAGTGGGATCCCTGATATACTTGAAGGTCACTCACCTTGACATAGCTCATGTGGTTTATGTTGTTGCTCAGGTCATGACGAATCCCCGGACAGTTCACTATGTTGCTGTATTGCGTATCATTCGTTATGTCAAGGGAACACTCCTACATGGTTTTTATTTTCTGTTGACTCTCCATTGGTTCTTGCAGGTTTCTCTGATGCTGATTGGGTAGGTGATCCGACTGATCGTCGTTCTATCACAGGTTATTGTTTTTTTCTTGGGAGTGCCCTTGTTTCTTGGTGCAGCAAGAAACAAACTCTCGTTTCTCGCTCCAGTGCAGAGTTTGAGTATCGTGCTCTTGCGGATTTGACTTCAGAGCTCCTTTGGCTTCGTCGGCTTCTTTATGATCTCGGGGTTCCTCAGCCTTCTTCCACTTCCCTCCATTGTGACAGCATGAGCGCAATTCAAATCTCCCATAATTACGTCTTTCACGAGCACACCAAGCATATTGAGATTGATTGTCATTTTTTTCGTCAGCATGTTCGTGCAGGCACTGTTCATCTATCTTCTGTCTCTTCCGAAGATCAGACTGCGGATATCTTTACCAAGTCCCTTTTTCCAAGCGGTTCTTCACATTGTTGAGCAAATTCAAGTTGATTTCTACTTTACCATCTTGAATTTGAGGAGGGGGGGTGTTAGCATATTTTTTATAAATTGTCATTTGGGGCCTATATATATATGTCTATATATATACACATTGAAACTCTCTTTTTTAGTTAATATTAAATTTCGATTTTCCGTAAAAAAAAAGGATAAATGATTAATGATTGCATTTTCCTAACAACTCGAGCTTTTAGGTGAGACGGTCATTCAACATCCGATAGAGTATTAGAGTCTACTTGAGGGGCTGTGTTGGGGACTCCCGTTTGTAGATAAATGATTAATGACTGCGTTTTTTTAACGATTCGAGCTTTTAGTGTGTAAAACAATACTTTAAATTAAGACGAAGGGAATAATATTTTTTATTTGAAAAAAAATCATTAAATAAACTTAATTAAAATATATTTTTTTGTCAAATATATATATTTCTATTTGAAAAAAAATCATTAGATAAACTTAATTAAAATAATTTTTTTGTCAAAAATATATATATATTTCTCCCAAAAAAAAAAGTTAATATATTATACAAACCCATTATTTTTATATTACTTATATAATTTTCTATATCCCAAATAATAATTTGAACAAACTATATTTAAAAAAACAAACAAACACAAAATTATTGGACTATATTTATTGTAAATATTTGTATTTTTATTTAACTTGTAGTTTATTTTCAAAATTGCTTTATTTTCAGGATATTAAAATATGTTATATAATAAATAATATAATATTATATAATATTGATAAGTATATAAATATATATAG